GGATTATTGCTATGCAAGAAGAATTAAATCAATTCGAGAGAAATCAAGTTTGGGAACTTGTTCCTAGACCAAGTGGTAAACACATCATAGGTACCCGATGGGTGTTTAAGAACAAACTTGATGAGAATGGTCTAATTGTTCGAAACAAAGCAAGGTTGGTTGCCCAAGGCTACAATCAAGAGGAAGGAATCGACTTTGAAGAAACATTTGCTCCAGTTGCAAGGATAGAAGCTATACGTCTTTTACTTGCTTATGCTTGTTCATTAAATTTTCAGCTTTTTCAAATGGACGTCAAATGCGCATTCTTGAATGGATACATCAATGAAGAAGTCTATGTCAAACAACCTCTGGGATTTGAAGACTTCAAACATCCTACACATGTATTTAAGTTGAGAAAGGCTCTTTATGGCTTAAAGCAAGCACCAAGAGCATGGTATGATAGACTTAGCAATTTTTTGTGTGAAAAAGGTTTCGAAAAGGGTAAGGTTGATAAAACCTTGTTCATTAAGAAAATCAAAAGTAACACTTTATTGGTTCAAGTATATGTTGATGATATCATTTTTGGATCGACTAACAAAGAAATGTGTGAGGAATTCTCATTGATGATGCAAGGAGAATTCAAGATGTCTATGATGGGAAAGATGAACTACTTTCTTGGACTACAAATCAAGCAACTAAAAGATGGAATCTTCATCAACCAATCTAAGTATTGCAAAGAACTATTGAAAAAGTTTGATATGGACAATTGTAAAGCAATGAATACTCCAATGGGCTCCGGTACATATGTTGATCAAGATGAATCCGGTACTCCAATTGATATTACAAAATACCGAGGTATGATTGGTTCCTTATTGTATTTGACGGCAAGCCGTCCTGACATCATGTTTAGTGTTTGTCTGTGTGCTCGCTTTCAAGCCAATCCAAAGGAATCACACCTCATGGCAGTTAAAAGGATCATGAAGTATCTCAAAGGAACAACCAATGTCGGCTTATGGTATCCTAAAGGTAGTATTTGCACTTTAATTAGTTATTCTGACGCGGATTATGCAGGTTGTAAAACTGATCGTAAAAGCACAAGTGGTACTTGTCACATTATTGGAAATGCATTAGTATCATGGGCTTGTAAAAAGTAAGCATGTGTTGCTCTTAGCACGGCCGAAGCAGAATACATAGCAGCGGGTAGTTGCTGTGCACAAATTCTTTGGCTCAAGCAACAACTCCGTGATTACGGAATTGATCTCGGATGCATTCCTCTTTGATGCGACAATACAAGTGCTATCAATATTACAAAGAATCTGGTCATGCATTCAAGAACCAAACATATAGATATTCGACATCATTTTCTCCGTGATCATGTACTTAAAGGAGATGTCAAAGTCACTTTTGTGGATACTCATAACCAACTCGCAGATATCTTCACAAAACCGCTTGCTCGAGAACCATTCTTCAAAATCCGAAGAGAACTTGGTATTTTGGATGAAGGTGATCTCTAAATATTTCTCATAAGGTGCACGTCTTAATTTTTCTTCAAAAATTTTATATTTCAGTACACTCTGCTTCTACTCCTTCTTTTATATGTTTTTATTTGATAAAATATGTGTGTATATATTGTTTGTTTTTTTTAATGAATTTATTTCACTCTTTTTCCCCATCCCTTTTTATGTTAACAAAGGGGGAGAAGAATATGCATATGTGTTGTTTTGTTTCAAAGAAATTGCAGGCACTCACTCCAAAATTAAAAGAATCATGGACTTAGGGGGAGCATACAATTTAGGGGGAGCCTTACATTTGCTTAACATTTTCGCTACACAAAACAACATAAACATTTAAAGAGTTGTTTTCAAGACTTGGTTGTCATCATCAAAAAGGGGGAGAATGTAATTGCAAGCTTCTCAAGTCATGTTTAAAGCATTAGTTTTGATGAAGACAACATGGATATCAACATTCAAAGGATGTGCAAAAAGCTTATCAATATCATATAGAAGTCTTGAAGATTAGAAGAAGAATTATTAAAGAAACAACAAATGTCAGAAGGTATAAATAATTCTTAAACTTGAATATAGATGTTCACAAATATGCATTCATAATCATATACGTATCCCACATTTTTAACAATAAGAAAAACTTTGTTTGAGATCTTTTTCAAAAAGAATTTTTGAAAATAAACTTTCAGGAACCGGTTCCTACCTAACAGGGAACCGGGTTCCAAACTTGTTCAAAAAACACGTCCCTGGAATTTGTACCAGGAACCGGGTTGTACCTATAGGGGAACCGGTTCCTGCGTGTTATTTTTGAAATCTGGGTTATAACGTTCACTAAGAACCGGGTTCTGTCTGGGTCGGAACCGGTTCCCAGCGAACCAGTGCAGATTTTCTTTTGGTTTTTGAACATATTTCAAATGGTATTCTTTCATGAATGCATTACATCTTTTCATATCAAATGGCATGAATGAAGAGGTATTTGTGACATTATAAAATGTGCAGATTTTCAAATTAAAAATAACTTTCTTCAATTAACAATTTTCATCATTCATATTCTTACAAACTTTAAAGTGTTCATAAATTTTGTGAAACTTGCCATATACATTTTCATTAAGAAATCATTACAAGTTTCATACATTCATTGTGAACATTTATAATCAGTGCTTGAGAATTGTTTATATCTTGAAGAAGAAGATCAATTGAAGATTGATAGTGCTCTCCATCTCTTTCAAATAAATCATTGTATTACAAAAAGAAAGTATTCCCTTACTATCCAGGATTGTTGGATGTAAGTGTTGTGATTTGAAGAGGATTGTTCTTCATTCACATTAGTGTTTGTTTGATCTTAAAGGTGTTAAGAACCTTTGGTCACCCTATAGGTTAGATAGTAAGCATAGGTTGTACAATTATTCTAACTATAGTGAAATCTCTTTCGTGTTGGAAAGGGGACTGGATTACTCTCGGATTGTGAGGGGAACCAGGATATATCGTCGTGTTCTTTACTTTTCTGCTTTTATCGCTTTCCTCACCATAATCAAGAAAAGATAAGATATAGTCAAAAACCTTCAAACACTTAACCACAAATTACTACAAGTATTCTCATAAAACCGAATAAATTTTTATATACCTAATTCACCCCCCCCCCCCCCCCTCTTAGGCACTCTTAGACTTACACGAACTATCTCCCATAATTACGAGACTACCATACATCGGAGTAAACATCTCAACAATGAACTATCTCCCATAATGACGAGACTACCATTCATCTGAGTAACTGTTGTACCCCAAATTTTGACCTAAGATACCATCTCCCATCTGCATCATTCGCACTGCAAGGGTTTTGACCTACTTTTATCAAATTTTTAAAGCAGTTAAAAATTCATAACTTTTTCGAGTCGGGAGCTGTTTATTTGTTGAACGCTAAATTCATTAACTGATCAAAACTTAAATGACGTTTATTAATTATTTATTATCTTAAATTTAAATAATCGGAATCTATTTTCAATTGTTATATAATTTAAAGACTTATGAATAATGAAATAAACATTTGAGAATGGGTTTATTAATTGATCAACAATGATTATTTAATTCTTTATCATTCTAGGTTAAATAATTAAAATTCTATTTTTAATTATTATAATTTAGAATATTATGAATAATGAATTAAATAATTAAAATTGTTAATTGGTCAATGATGTTTATTTATTTGTTTATCATTCTGAATTTAAATGATTGGATTTGATTTTCAGTCATTATATAATTTAAAGAATTATAAACAATAAATAAATAATTGGAAAGAAAAAAGAATTAATTGGGAAATAATAGGATTTTATTCACTTTATTCTATTTATTACAATTATCATTTAAATATTGTGTTATTACAAAATATTTATAATGGCAATTACACAAATGCTTAAAGTAAAATAAAAAAAACTATTTTCCTAAATTCTAATTCTAATCTTCTATCCAATGCTCTTGTCTGCTCATTTAATTTTACCTGCGAAAACAATTAAAAGAAAGTCAGAATTGAATAAACAATTAAAAGCAAAAATAAATTTAATGTTCATCATTAAAAGCAAACGGCTGGAATCAGTTTACCCTTTTTGCAAATCGCGGGATTTCTCCCGGTTCACAAAAAGGGAGGAATTTTTATGAATGCACAATTAAAATATGCACAAATCATTTTCTTGTCAAAATAGCATAAATTTAATTTTTGGTCAAAACTGCATAAGCCATAAATCAACAGCATATGCAAGTTCACAAATAAAAGCCAACGTAAACCTATGCAATTTAAGAAGAGTCCAAAACACATAGGCTCCTCTACTGTACAAATGCAGTGGACAAAGGAAGTATGCAGTTCAAAACAATGTGCAAGCAAGTATTTCCTTTTTTCATCATATTCCAGCCTATTGCTTTTTCAGAACAGCAGTACAGAATATCATTTTTATGTATCATTTTGTACTTGAGAGAGAAGAGAGAAAGAGGTTTGGTTTTGCAGGTTTTGGTTTAAGCATGAAATAGGAATAGAGACAAACCATATGTAGCAGCATATGTGCAGAGCATCAGGAAAATATAATAAAATATTCAACCCGAGCCCTCAACATAGGAAGCAACGATTATATGAGAAGAAAACCCCTTCAAACAGAAGGGGAGGGGATAACCTGCAGGGACGATTTTCTACACAAGACTATCAAAGCAAAAACCATTTTGGCTCCAAGTCTAAAAACAAAACCAGCAAGAACCTGCATTACCAATAACCTACTGCTAAACCAGCATAACCATAAACCAATTTCCATAAAACCATCACAGATATCAAAACCATATATCAAACAGTACTATCCATAACCATGGCAAAAACCTGCTGATGACCATTTTCTATAAACCAGCCATCTTCTCCATCCACCACGCACAACTTCATACATATTTTCTTGTGTCTTCACTTTATATTCTTCAAAAACCTCCAACCTGCAAAAAGGAAACATATCATTTTTCACACACTTACTAAGCCAATTCTCATTCATGATACCAAAAGACCCAACCTTTATTTCACATTTTTACGAAATTTTTACAGTAACTCACCATCAACCATCAGCTTTCTTCAGATTTATCACAAAACCTTACCATATTTATAGGTCCAAGAATATCCTGGGTACAAATTCATTGGTCTAACATATGGGCCTGGAGGTGATAATCAAAAGCGACTAGAGAAGGAAATTGGTGCCAAGATAAAAATTCGTGGAACCAAAGCAGACACAGGAGAGAAAAGTGAAATTAAACCAGGTACTGATGTTCAGTGCAGTTACAAAGAGATGCAGGTTAACACAACAGCTGATAGTTTTGATAAAGTGGATGCAGCAATTTTCACCATTGAACTACTAATTTCCTCTGTAACTGGGAGCTCAGCTGCTAGTTCCACACCTTCTGTATCTGTCTTTGGGGACAGCACTAATGGTCTGAATCAAAACCAAGATCCCCCATCTCATGCAATCTCTCTATCTCTGTCCAACCGGGCTGTGTTTCAACCAGCAACCATTACACAAATGCAGAAGACGTAATTCGGGTTCAGAAGGAAAGTTAGAGAAAGACCAAGAACATAGTCAAGGACAATTCAACATACCAGGTTTATGACTCCATTTTATTAATTTCGACGTTATATTTGCTTCAGCTTCACTATAATCCATCATCTTTTGCAATAGGGGGGAATGGTTATTAAGGGTTTCATTTGCTTGCCGCTGCAAAGACGTGTTACCGTTAATTTTGAAAGAGAAAATATATAATAAAAGTAAAAAAATATGTTTCTTACCTCCAAAAGCTTCACTGTAATATATGCTTCTCACCATATCCATTTCCTTTGGTCAGCCATCCATCTCTCTTCCCTGTTCGTACTTGTTTCTCAGTAATCTTTCTGTTTCACTGGTACCAAACATATTGTACATGCCTACCCTCGTAAACCCCAACACTGGAGAATCTCATTTATCACTGTTTCTTCTCTCTTTACTCACAAGCCCTACTTTAACGCCGCCAACACCACCACCCCTCCTCTTCACCAACCTCAAAATGATAAGCGCTCTAGACTTATACCATATCACTCACTCTCTGCATAAATAACAAACAACACTCTTCTCTATTCAAGAACCACCAATGGATGATGACTCAATGATGACATTAGCAGTATTATGGTTCGCCTTCATCCTCTTCGTTGTCTTGATATCTGAAAACAACGAACCTCCTCCCATTAACCCACTTGAACAAAAAGCACTCTACAATCTTCTCAATTCCATCGACCCAACCACTCCTTGGACCACCCCTACCCCCACGATTTCTGCATCTCACCTCCTTCCTTCCTCCATTGCGACTCCAAATCACACATTGCCCAACTCAACTTCGGTTTCATTTCCGATCAAACTCATCTTCTACCTTGTTCCCCTAACGCTATTCTCCAAGTTCTTCTTCTACTCACAGTAACACACCAATCTCGCATCAACCTACCTTGCTTCATTTACCTGCAAGTGAAAACAGAAAATAACAATTCCACTCAACAATTGCATCGATGTACAATCGCAATAATTCTAACAAGCAGACAAGCTTCAAGAGCGATAAGCTAATCGCTGCCTTCATCTACACAAAGCACAACACTGACGTATCCGTAATGATTCAAACATCATACCTCAGCATTTTCTGGCTAAATTTCTTCGCCGTAGGTAATTTTCTGCTTCCAATTACACTTGTTCGAGATGTTGTTTGTTGTGTTGTTGTTGATTTCCTTCTTTCGGGTTGCATCGGGAGAATCGTTTAGAGAACTGAGAGGAAGAGTTACAGTGTTGTTGCTGTTTATTCGAAGCGAGATTGAGATGTTGAAGCCGTGGACAGAGGGCGAGAGACCGTGAGAGAGTTAGAAGGCGATGAATGTTTTTTTCTGAGAGGTGAGCGTCAACAGAATGAGAGAGAAGGAAGTGTGAGAGTGAAAGAATAAAGGAAGCGGTGATGAGCGATCAGTTTTAGTTTCTAGGTTTGTTTTAGTTTCAATTCCATTTGGGCCTTTACCTACTCAAGCCCATTTGAATTTCTATTCACACCCATCTTGTTTATTTAAGCTTTAATAATGTTGTTCTAGGCCTCCCTTAAGCCTTTGGCCCATTTGCTTTGTCCTTATCTTACCCCCCTTTTTTTGATTCTTGACTTCTATTTGTCTCTTTAGTTTTTTTAGTTAATTAGTAAAACTTAATGGAATAATAGATAATTTAGTGAAAAAAAACTTTATTAGTTTAACATTAGGTTTAATCTAGTAATTTTAGTATCTTTTTAGGTTTAGTTAAATAACTTTTAAAGTTTAATATAGTTTAGATCTATTTAATAAATACTTTATATTAATACTAATACAAAAAACGTAAAAAAATAGAAACATATAAAAGCCCCTAAAAAATATTTTATTTCTTAATTAATTCTCTTGTTTTGCATACATTAAACAAAAATCCAAAAATGCATATTTACACCATTCAGTCATTTATTTAACTGTTGTTATTTAATCATTATCCGCATAATTTTTCTGTTTAATTATTTCATATTTACTTGGTTATTCTGTTTACGTCTAAATCCAAGGAATTGTCTAATTTTTTTGTCGACTTCACGTCATCAAAAAACGATCGAGCGAATACTCTCATTCATTAAAAGTTTAGGTTAATTTTTCATCAAAAAAATTCAACCCTTTTCAAAAACTCATACCCTTTAAGCAAAAACTTCGACCTTAGGTCGTCGTATCTTCAAAAACCCGTCCGTACCCCTTTTCGGCCAAAACGATTTATTTTTTAATCAAACGATCAATTTTAATAAAACAGATATTTCAAAAGGTTCCTGTAGAATACTATAGATGCATTGGGTGCTAATACCTTCCCATTGTATAACCAACCCCCGAACCATAAGATCTCTTTTCGAAAACGCTTTGTATTTTTATTATTATTTACATTGCATATTTAGGGTTTTATTTCGCTCTTTTCCCTTTTCCTTTGGAAACAATAAAGCGCGGTGGCGACTCTTGCTTTTGTGAGACGAATTAATCAATAATTCGATCTCCGATTTACCCCGCTACATTTTTTATCGCTACAGAATTGGCGACTCTGCTGGGGACAGATTGACCTCTTGCTGGTCCATCCCTAAGTGGGTTAAGCCTAATTTGTCTTATCTGTTTTACTATTATTTGATTTGCTTGATTTTGTGTTTAAATTGGGGTGTTTGGGTTTTTTTTGCAAAGGAAGAATCCTATACCCGGATTAAGTAACACTTAAGGAATAGGACGGGCGATATAGTCATGTTAACTTTGAGGGAGTAATCCCGAAGAAGGAGGCATGAGATCCCCCACTCAATGGAAGGCCCTCTTGAACTTAATATTTGTTTACCGAGTAATCGGGAAGACATTATCATTTTTGACCTAGGAGCCCGAGAAGTTGAGGACCGTAGAACCCCAACCCATCTTGGCCTTTTTAGGTGTAGCGCGGAGACTATAATGGAGTAATTCGGAAGTAGTTGTTACGCGATGCTACGCTCGGACGAGTTTCTCTCGAGAATATTGCTAATTATCGAGTAATCAAGACGTTGGCAATATCCGAAGGAGGAATGTAGACTCTAGGAACTCTTAGAACCTCGTTCTACAGGTGTGATTAAACCCTTAGTACATACCTTGGGGATGTTTTTTACCCTTAACTCCATGCTCGTGACGTTGAACCTCCGACTTTATTTGTGACCTTGCTTGTGGTTGTTGCATAGCCATGCATTCATGCATCCATAAAACTCTGTTCACTTGACTTTGAAGGAATTTGGAGGTCTTTCTTTGTAAACATCACAAGTTTCGTCAAACTCAATGGATCTTGGGTGTTGATAGGGCGAAAACCCTAATCCACCAAAATGGATGATTGATCTTGACGATAACTTGATCAACGTTTGGAGCCAATTTAAAACTCATCTGTTATCTTCATACTTGGATGTTTATAACTTAATATCTTGAGTTCCTTGAAAACCAAATAAAAATTTTCTTTTGCATACCACACATCATTCTACATTTTTCCTTGTCCCACTTTCAAAGGTCTTTTCCGAGTCTTATTTTTTTCCTTTGGTCTCACTAGTACAACACTCACGCTAAGAGGATAATGGAGAATATCAAGCAAGAGGTTTCTGAACTCCGCAGAGAGGTGACTGTTTTAAAAGCTGGTATGGAGCGCTTAGCTGGTTTGGTTGAAATTCTGGTCGTCGCCCAAGTCAATCCTTCTAGGAGGGAGGAAGCGATGATAAAAGTCTTCACAGAAACTCTAAATCTTTTTCTCATGAGAAGGTGATGGTCAATGCACCTAATGACTTTCCTGACAAGGGGAATGTGGGAGTGCGTCTAGAGGAAGATGTCGGAAAAGGATGTTCATATGAAGACGGTAGCGCAGCTAATGGTGTGAAGAAGTTTGATAATGACTTTTCCAAGAAGAGAACCAGAAGAAATAATCATCATCAGAATCATCACGTTCATCAACAGAATCAGCGAGTTCCTAATCAGAGGAAAGCCCAGTTTGATTCAATTCCAATCACCTATACAGAGTTGTTCCCAATCCTGATGCAGAGGAATTTGGTTCAGACCCGACCTCCACCGAAGGTCCCTGAGAAGTTACATTGGAACTACAAAGCTGATTTGGCTTGTACTTTTCATCAAGGTGCTCCTGGGCATGACTTGGAGGGTTGCTTTGCTTTGAAGATTGAGGTTCAGAAGTTGGTCAGAAGTGGTATCTTGTCATTCAAGGACGTTGGTTTTGAAGTTCGAATCAAACAGGCGCCGAAGAGTAAACACGACTGAGGGTGACTTTGAGTTTTTGAAGATGTTTTCGGTAGTTCAAGTGGAAAGCCTTCCCAGATTATTAACTTGTTTCTGCTTTTGTAGCTTTTCTTATTTATCGAAACATTGTTTGCATGTAAGAACTTGTTTGCATCTGAATGATCATTTTAATACAATGAGTATGTTTGTCTTGAAGAAATTCATTCGTTTCACTCATATTTGTTTTCAAATTTTAAATTTCTTTTTGCATTATGATGCCAACTTGCTGACCATTCTCTCGCCTAGGTAGAGATTGAAGGGGGGGATGATGATCTAAAGAACACAAAATCTTTGGTTGCATGCTTTTGAATAAGATCTTGTTGATGATGTACAGGCATTGATTCAAATCCCTACACACTGGAGATATAAGGAAGATAATCCCTTGCTAACCCCTTTTGAGCCTTTGAAGCAGAAGTTTCTTTTCTACACGAAAAAACCTTGAATTTTAACCTGGGGCAGGGTAGTTTTCTGTTAATTTGATTGAGTGTTCAAAATTCGTAAGAAAGATGTTACCGTCACAAAATCCTTTTGATAGATGAACACTCAGGTTGAATTAACCGAGCATAGGGTTGGAGAACATCATGAAGAATGGGTGGGCACCAAATATTTTGAGCCTTAAAACCTTTTTCTAAAAAACCCATAAACCGGACCACATTACAACCTTCAAAAGTCCTAATTGAAGAAAGGTCATTATGAAAGCATACTTCA